ACTCATCAAATCTCTTACTTGGCTTCTCTCTTTCATCCAGCCATCATCTCTTCCCTATTCAACCTAGACCTTGTGTTACAGTAACCCGTTCTGCCCTAGACAATATACCAACCCCCTTGTTCTTTCTTTGACCATATATCCTGGGAAAGTTTGAGAAGGTGTATTTAAATCAAATTGCAGCCATAGAAGTCCCCAGGGACTTCTCAAAGGTGCTGATATTTTGAGCTGAGTGTTGATGGATCAAAGTGAAAGAGGGCATTTCAAGGAAGGTTATGGCATATCTAGAGGCACCAAGGAAGGGAAAGTAGGATTTAGTGGGAACTGCATGCTATTTGAAGGTCTAGAGCAGGGATCTAGCTGTACAGTGTCAAGAAATAACAAGGAGTTTATACCATATTTAAAGTATGAAGAGCAGTTAATAGTTTTTCCTCCAATTATAGTCTTAATACATATTTATAGAAAACAGAAAACACCTAGAAATGATAAAGCAGGGGAAAAGTCACCTTTAGTCTTCCCAGAGCTCAACACAATTAAGCAACAATCCTTTCATTTTTTTTTTGAAGATTTATTTATTTATTCATACAGAACTGGGGTACAGGCCAGAGATGCGGAGGGTGAGAGGATTCACCAGAAGCAGAGCGGGAGCAGAACAGGCAGATCGACGAAGTACACTGCTGAGGGGAGCAGCAGGCGGGTCAGGAGAGGTCTGCCACGCCATGTGGTCACCTCCGGGGCAGGCGGGGATCGAACTCATGCAGAAGTGGCTTAAGCTTCTTAGTGCTGTGCTTTAACCCGCTGCACCACCAGGGAGGGCCCTCTTTTTTTTAAAGATTTATTTATTTATGCATACAGAACTGGGGTACAGGCCAGAGGTGCAGGGACGGTGAAAGGATTCACCAGAGACAAAGTGGGGAGCAGAACAGGCAGATCAACAAGTACACTGCTGAGGGGCGAAGCGGGCAAGATAGGTGAGGTCTGCTGCGTCAATTGGGTCCTCTCCAGGGGATCAAACTCATACTGAAGCGGCTGTGGCTAGCTTGCAGTGCTGTGCCCTAACCCATTGTGCCACCAGGGAGGGCCATGAAATTGTCCTTTCTTCTATATATATCCTTACATATTTGAAAATATGGCAAATAAGTAAGTTTATGTCCTGCCTTCACATTTAACATTATAACATATACATATTTAGTATCTTTGAACTTTTGCAAGTATTTTAATGGTAGCATAAAATCCTGTTATTGGCTATCATATAATTTATGTAAGTATTCTCATGCAGTGGAACTAGGGAGGGGGTGTATTTCACTTTTATAAAAGATGCCACAATGTTCACATTTATATGATCTCAGGTTCTGCTAATGATTTTTTTTATCAGTACCAAAATGAATTTAATGAATCAATGGCATGAAAATTTTAGATTCTGATTGCCAAATCTCTTTTTGAAAAAACTTTCTGCCAATTTACACTCTCATTTATGTATGAAAGAATAGATCTTTCGTTTCTCCTCCCTGCACCAAATTGGTACCAACACCAACTGGTGTTGGTTTGGGGATGACATGAGTGGATTTGCTCTTACAAAATCAGGCTGGAGGCTGAACCCAGGGGGCCAGTGTTGCTGTCCTTGCTGTTCCTCCTTTGCTTCTAATTCTTCTTCTTCTTTTTTTTTTCTTTTACTTCCCCATTCTTTCTTTCTCGGAGAGTACATATTAAGTGTTCGCTATACTCAAAGCACTGTGTAACTTTTGTTACCCATAGCAGTGCTCAAATGCCTACCTCTCCAGCTGCAACAAGCTTGTGCCCAACCCAAGAGTCCCTTTTTGTAATTCTTGTTTTAAAAACATCTCTGGATAATAATTCTCCATAAGGATAAATATTTTTATCTTTTTCTAGTGAACTTGCCAAGTGTATTTATTGCTAAATTAATTCCTTTCTGCATCCTGTAACTGTTCACCACTACACATGATCATTGGAAGGTCCTACCTCCTTCTTCATCCAACAAATTACCTTGGGATTCATCCTTCAGATCCTTCCTTAAATATCTGTTTTTCCATACAGTTCCTAGTTAGTATCAGTTACTTAGTCTTTCTTGATCATATAGTCCAATGAAAACATTTTCTGCAACTAGTTTTGTTTCTTCCTTTTGTTCTAGAGTCCTTCAAATATAAAACATTTTGGAGCCCCATTTCTTAGCATAGTTTCTGGCATTTAGTTCCTACTCAGTTGAATGAATGAATGAATGAGTAAATAAATGAAGTTCTGTTTTACTAAGGCACATAAATATTCCATCTTAAATACTAATGAGTTGAGGAGCATAAAGACAATATGGAAATGACTGCAACTGGCAAAACCACACTCTGAATCATTGGTACCTAAGGTAAAATAGACACCTGGAATACCAGATGTCCTAATCCTGGATTCTAAGTTCCGGATGTTAGTTTTTCTGTGTGTCTGGACATTGACTTTTACTTTCTTATGCTTCATTTTGACTCTAGATTTACTGTTTGCCTGTGTTTCTCTGTGATAGATAAAGTAAAGAGACTTGATGCCAGAACCCCCAAAAGAGTATAAAACTACTATGAACTGTTTATAGGTATCACACAAAAGAAGCTGTCATGGTCCAGTAAGTGTGGGAAACAAAGTTAATTAGATTTCTTTAATTCAGGACTTCCTGGCAGGCATTTTAAGAAGTTGAAAGAAATACCAGTTAAGCAATGGTAGAGAAAAGAGCAATCAAGTCTTCTCTCGGTAGTAGACAGGAGTCATCCTAGCCTCTTTATACCAGGGAACATGCAGAAGAAAATTAATGGCAAAATTGCAATCAAAAAATACCAGACCCTAGCCCCTTCCCCTATATTTATCTACCAAGTCCCACGTTTGTGTGAGTCCCTGCCCCCCACCCACCCACCACCTGATGAGATCAGCCTTCATTATTTCTCTCCTAGAGCCAGGAAGCAAGGTAATGTGTGGGAAGTGATAGCTGCAAGGTAATGTGTGGGAAGTGATAACAACTCTAGAGTTAAAGCCATTCAACAGGAAAATTTGTTAAAAGACCAAGACATTGTAAAAGCTGAAACACTTGAGTCTATTAAGTCCCCTGCTTCTTAGAACATTTTGTTACCAAGGAATATTTCAAGGAGGGAAAACATTGAACTATCACAGCACTGTAAGATACCAAAGCCTGGTACAAAGAGCAACATTTTGCAAGACATCTGTCTCTCTGCCCCTAGAGAAACTTCTACAATGTTCTATTTCCCATTTCTCTTCCTTTCCCTGCCTCAATATACCTCCTCCACATCCTTGCCCCAAGATACACTCTATACATTTCTCTCCTCCCTCTCCCTCACCTTCTCCTCCTCCTCTTCTCCCCACTCCTCTTTCATAATCACAGTTTGATTTCAGAGACACCGTTAAAATGGCACAGTAAGCTAAGATTATCCAATGGTTATTCAATGCTCTTTGATAAGAAAGGAACTAATTAAGTGACAAGATTTAGACATTTGTTGTTTATTGGAACCAAACTCGTTACAAGAGCCTGAAGCATTCTCCTAAATAAATATTGCTGTTTCATGGTATCTTATTCCAAGTCAAAATGAGACAGAGTTTGGAGACAGTGTTTTTTTCGTAGATGTGGGAAGAACGAGGACCAGAGAAGGAGAAAGGGAGTACTGATGGATGTAGAGGGGAAAGCTGTCACAGAAAGGCTAAGGCAATGTGTGACTCTGTTGGCAACTGATGTTTACTGGAGATCAGCAGAGAGCTACTCTGGAGCAATGTTGATACATTTGTGGTCAACCCAATGGTCTGTTTGACTGTCTTCATTAGAAATGCATCCATCAAAGAATGTTTTTTAAACAAAAGTTAGTTATTTAAACAAAAAAGTAAAGACAAACCCAAATATCTCTTTGGCAATCTTAACAAACACTGTTCCACTATACAAGGAGGCACCTTGGAAGACAGAAGTCATCTGTTAAATAAACATTAACAGACACAACTTTCTTTTTGTAGATATTAATAGGGTATTAGTTATTAGTCCTAACCTATGAGAAAAGTACTTTCGCTTGATAGGCAAAGGAATGGAAATTTTTTAAGAATTTGCCCTCTTATTTTGTTACTTTTTTAAATAATAAAAGCTCTGTGCTAAAAGTGATACCCAATATCCAACCCTGATCCTGCCATTGCTTGCCCAAGAAACTAAGCAAGCAGAATCTAAGCCTCAAGAACTTGGGGCAGGGTGTTGAGGGGAGGGTGGCTTTTTCAGGTGCTGAATTAAAAGCAATTGCCACTCTGGGAGGCCATCAGTCCTGTGTGACTCCAAGCCTGACACTCATATTTTCTGTCCCTTTTCCTACTGTGACCCAGAATAATCTGGTGTAGGTGAAATATTCTTTTCCTTGGCTCAGATTAGGCACCTGGTGTCCTGAAAGAGGTCATTGATTTCCCCAAAGATGTCCAAGAAGGTTGGCTCTCCACAGGCTTACCACAGGCCAAATTTGAGGTTAATTAACCATCAGTCATCATCAGTGGAGCCAAGGTGTTATTCAGACATTCAGAGAAGTGAGACTTGATCCAGCTATGGATAATGACCTTCATCAACATTCCTTCCTATCCTAATCCCAAACCAGTGTGCCTTGGGCTGCACGGGGGGGTAGGGGGTGGGGAGGGAGGGTGGAGGATGGGAAGATGAGGGGTTGAGAATTATCTCCAAAAGAGCTGATTCATCATGTATATTATTCTATGTTTGAATAAACTTCTTAATGTGCCAAACCATTCTTCGGATGCATGGTAATATTGTGAATCAAAACCTTTTTTTCACTATAACTGGGTTTCTGATCATGAATGATTTTTGTGAAAGTCCTATTCAGAATGAGTATGAAAATGCTGTTTGGTGGAAAATGAAGAAATGTGGATCTTTATATTGGCTATCTGGGGACCATATTTTCTGGTCAGAGACAGCCTGAGGAACAGAGGGATGTGTATGCACTGCTTGGTATCTTTCTTTGCAGACCTCGGTGACCAACTCCTTGAAGTGGTGGGGCTAGAGGGAGCCATGGAGATGGGGCAGATCTACACTGGTCTGAAAAGTGCAGGCAGGAGGCTGGCCCAGTGCTCCTCTGTCACCGTCAGGTACGTTTCCTCTACCCACAGGCCTCCTTGTCTCCCATCTCTCTTAACATCCTTATAAACAACAGCAAGGAAGCCATCATTGAATTTCTGTGCAAGAAAAATAGGGAAAGAAAATTGACAACATTTACAATGAATTTTTCCCAAGCCCATCTAATGCAATCACCCAAGATATCAAGTAGTGGTTCTACCACAGCCCCTTTGCTGTTCTCTTAGAATGAATAGGTGAAATTCTCTACAAAGAGTATGAGATTATGAGGTCCAGGGAACCAGAGGTCTAACATCCTGAATTTTTACATCTTAACAAATTAAGATCTTGAATATATGCCAAAGGGTAGCTCTAACAAAAACCAAGTTCTCTGCTACGCTTTTCTTGGATTGACCTTCAAAATACTACTTCCTGTATGTCTTATAGAGCTAAATAATCAACATTAGCAAACCTGGTATAATTAACTGAAAGGATAATGATTCTTAGGGGATGGATCCACAGGTCAGCCAGTGCAAGTTCCCAACGGGGAGGGTTCTAACCGAAGGGAACACTGATTGCAGTTGCCTCTATTTAATCAATGAAGTTCGGTAGATTCTTATCCAACTACTATTTCAGAAGTTCATACCCTTTCTTTTACATTATATTTCTACAGATCAAATCTATTGGTTTACCTTAGATGTCCTAGAAAATCACAGCATATAAGCTTCCCAAAGTTATTTGACCACAGAACCCTTTAACCAGAGAACTTGTTGGCCACATGTCCCTGAACAGATTTAGGGAAACTCTGATTTTGTTGCTACCCTGTATCTCATAGAAAGGTCTTGAGAGCTGGTTCTCCCTGTCTCTTGTTAAAGGAAGGTCTAGCCCACTAAGCCCTTTTCTTCATTCCCTCCCTTTGTAGTCCCTTGTCATCTTTACTATCATTCCTCTAAAGGAATGATAGCTCCCCTTTCTCTCTGAGTAGTAAGTACTAGGGACCCCGTTTTCCAAATTGATCTCTGTAGGTCATTCCTTCCCTACTCTCCATGACTTCGACACTGAATAGGTCCATCCTATTAGCACATCTAAGCCATGGCAGAGAACATTTTTATCCCAAAGGACCAAAAAAAAAAAAAATTCATGTACAAGAAGATGGACTTTTTCTTCATATTCACTAGGTCTATTCCTAGAGAATGTAAACCAAGAACTCTATCCTTTTGGAAATTTCCAAGATAATCCCTTCAGTCCAAAGAACCAAAATACCACTCTTCTTATTATCTGTCTTATTATTAGCTTTACTATTTTTCATTATTAAATATCCTCAGGTCAGTCAGGGAATCGTCAACATATTAACACAGCTTGCCTCCCTCGTTCTGTAATTTTGAAAACAGGGCAGGTACAAATCCAGCTAAGGGCTTCCTGGTCAGTGGGTGGCAGTTGCTCCCTGCTCACCCAGACCGGAGGCCTCTGAAAGGACCCACCTTTTCTCCTAAAAGCAATGTGGTATGAAATCACGAGTCTTATACAGAAGGAAATCAGAAGACCTGTCTCTCTCCCTTTAAGAAGCCATGTACCAGGAAAATCTTAGCCCAAAACAATGCTTTTCTCCTTTCGTCTCCTGTCCCTGAGACTATATTCCCAATGACCCTCTTTCCCAGTTAAGCCAGGCCCACAGAGTGTGCTGTTGTTGGGGAGGTTGGTTAAGATGTAGGACAAGGCAAGACTCACTCAGACCTGACCAGTACCTTGTACAGTTTGGAGACATTACCTCATTGACGTGATGCAACCTCTCACTCAACATAGAAACCAGGCCTTCCCATTTCATAACCCTTCCCATTTTGTGGAGTTTTGGCACGATCTGCAAGCCCTCCGGCTGACTCTTAAACTGTGATCTGCTCAGCAGTGGTATTGCCATTCTTGGTTGGCCACTATTTCCTAGACTTCTACGGATTTGCTGTTTACCCAGGGCAACATTTTGCAAAGCAGGGCCTGATGACCAAAGCAACAGAATCAGACCTTGCCCTAGAACTGCTGGGTCAGTACCACTGAGATGAACCCCAAACTATTTTTAACAAGCCCTAAGGAACGTCTTAGAGAATCACTCCTAGGGGGACAAATATGGTTGTTTTCCCACCTCTTTCCATGATTCTCCAACTCCAAGAAGCTCACTGTGTTCTCTTGGTTCTTGGGTTCCAGGACGAACAAGCTGCTCCCCATGCAAGTGGATGGAGAGCCATGGATGCAGCCACCTTGCACGGTGAGTTTTACCAGTCTTTGAGATGAGGGTGAGAAGCTTTACTTGGGGCCTCTCTGGGCACCCACAATATGAAATTGCTGAATCTCAGACGCTTTGGGAGATCATCTAGTACAACCTCTCTTCCACCATATCCCTCTGTTCCTTGCCTGCCCAACCTTTATCAAATACCTGTTAAGTGCCAGGTACTGTGAGGCACCAACTCCAAAACTGAATGAGACACAAAGCTGTCTTCAAAGAGCTTGCAGATCCAGTTGGAGAATTCAGAGACTTCATCTACAGTATCTTGAGAGCCTCAGCTTGACTCATTCTAGTGGCAGGGAACTTATCAACCCAAGAGTTAGGGTGTTCTTCCCATAAGCAAGTCTGGTTGTTAGAACATGCTACTTTACATGGAAGCTGAATCTGCACATGTACACTAGACCTTCCACTCAGCTGCAGCTGTGACTCTTGGAAAGAATTCCCACAATGCACAGGCCTGCTCCCACAGGTGCACCACTGCCCTGCGGACGCAACTAAAAACTCCACCAAAATGATAACCACTCACCAGTGGTGCATTTTGTTTGTGGTGTTATCATCCAGCAACTGATGCTGTGCTTGGTTTGTGATAGTTGAACTGTAATTACTGAGTGAATGAAAGACTGAGTGAGTGGACAAACTAAAATAAAGGAAGCTTCCCATTCCCTGATTTCCCAGACGGGAGTGGGGGTCACTCTCCACTAAGCAGTGCTGCAGGAGCCTTACAGCCCTCCTTCCTCAGTTCATTCTCAGTTAGAGCTAGACCCTGCCGAAAGGCAACCGCTGTCCTCATGTTCCCGTCAGGGTGCTTATTGGTATATTACAGATGATAGTGAGATAAAACCATTACTGCTTCTCTGTGTATATTTTAATGGTATCTATAAAATTTTCTCAATACTGTCATGAAGTACAAATCTCAAAAGACAAATTTGTGTTTCTGAGCTTCCTCACACTGGTGAAGTATTCCCATACTTTGGTAACCTGCTATTTTGAGCTTTTCAGAAGTAACATCACGTGTTTTTCTATTAGAGAGATTTTATGAGTTTTCTACTGAGTCTGAATTGTAGATGTATTTCTAGAACTCTTTGTTCTATGTAACTTTTACAAATCACAAAACTGCTCCCTCGAGACAGACTCCAGAGATGGAATCTTCTATAAAGGTTACCAAGCATAGAATTTTTTTCTGCAAAATCTTACCTTAATCTTCCAGTTTCTATAAAGACTAAGAAAAAATGAAAACATATTACAACAAGAACTATTAATAGCTTACTCCCTTGTTCAATTTAGGGAGGGAAAAAGAAAGTTCAACTATTTATAATTTTGATGGAGCTGAATTGAGGGGGAAAGTATACCCAAGTTCCTCCTGTCACCTAAAAAAAATTACAAGACTGGAGGAAATCAAACCTTCATCCACTTGATGGATCACCAGTCTTCTAAGTCCAAAAACCTGGTTCTGAAATAGCCAAATACTCATAATATTATTTATTTAAAATTTGCAAGACTTAACAATGTAATACAAGACAGAAAACACATATCAAGCAATTTTTAAAGTTTTGAAACAAGTTTAAAGTTTTAAAACTAGGAATATCAAAAATGACCCAAAATTAGTAAATGTGTTTCAGTACCCATTAAAAGAAAAATATTCTCATGTTGTTTTAAAAATTAAAGGTCAGTGATACACTTCTTATAATGGCTATAACTAAAATAAAAGAACACAAGTTCTCCTTAACAACAGTAGCTTCCAAAGGAGCTCAAAACCACCATTATTTACTCTTTAAAAAATAAAATTAGGAGGTTCTTTTTCAGAACTTAAAAAATGTAGCCTCTTTGAATTTGGAAACAAATTCAAAGTATCATCTAAAGCCATCATTTAAAAAAGGAAAAAAATGCGGAATGAGTAGTACCAGAATTAAAATTTAAAAAAATAAAACAAACTTAAAAAGGAAGAAAATAATAAAAATAAAAGTAGAAATTAATTCAAAAATAGGGAAATCTAGAACCAGCTCTTTAAGTATGTCAAATATGCAAAAGCATGATACAAAAGTCCTAATTAAAGAATTGGTATATAGAATTGAGCAATATAGTAAAAAATACTTTACTTCTCAAAAAAAAGGAATGCAAGAAAGCCTTCAAACATTAGTTTAACAGAAAAATTATGTAAATAATACATTGAACAAATGACCCAAAAATATTCTATTACATTCCACATTTCTGGTTATTGAAGGTAAAAATTCTTCAGAAGCTAAAATTGAGAAAGGTACTCTCTCTAAATAGTTAAAAATACCTGAAAAAATATCATTTTACTTAATAATAAAACACAGATGCTAATATTGTTTGGAAATTCTAACCAATGCAGTATATGAAGCAGAAAAGAAATATTACTATTTGAAAACGACTCAAACTCATTATTTGCACATAATGTACATATAGAAAGCTGTTAGAATCAACTGAAAACCTTATAGTATGTTACTTCATTAATGCCCTATAGAAAAACAAGCAAAGTTGAATAATTTTGGTATGTACCTCAATCATCATTCAGAAGAATACAATGGGGGAAAGTTGAGCTATCATAATAGCAATAACAAAAACATTAAAATGAACTGTGAAGAAATAAATGACAACAGACTTAGCCAATATGAAAACATTTTTGAATATAGAAACAATGTAGAAGCCATGTTTCTAAATAGGGATCTCAAAAAAATCCCAATACAATTGTTGCTTTAATTTGGCAAACAGCAGTTAAGGCATTTTATAACAAAACAGGAAGGAAAGACTTACTAGAAGATATTCAATAGTTATACAACAACAATAATTCCACAAATGGATAGATAAATCAATAGTACCTGGGGGGGGGGAAGCCCTAAGAAACTTTAACACATGTAAAAACTAATAAAGGAAAAAAAAAGATCATAAACTAAGTTGAAAGGAGTTGACTGTTTAACATATGGTATCCAAGAAATTGACGGTTTACGAAAACGTCATTATGTCAATATACCAACCTCTGACTTCACTCCCACCCAATTAAAGTATTAAGTGTTATATCTGTGGGGGAGGGGAAGAATAAGAGGGTAGGTGACTATAATCACACTATCAGCATGAACTTTCTAAGGAAAAGGTGATATGTTTATTAGCAAATTTAAAATTCTACAAATAAGAAACGTCAATTAGATATTTAAAAGACTAAGGACAAGATGTTTGCAATAGATATCTTAAAAAGCAGGTTACGCCTTCCCTAGTGGTGCAATGGTTTAGGGTGCACACTGCAAGCTAGCCGCAACCGCTTCAGTGCGAGTTCGATCCCTTGCCCTGGAGATGACCCACATGGTGACAGACCTCTCCTGTCTCTCTCCCTGTTCCCCTAGCAATGTACTCATTGATCTGCCTATTCTGCTCCCCACTCTGTCTCTCACTGCTCCTGCACCTGTGGCCTGTACCCCAGTTCTGTATGCATAAATAAATAAATCTTTTTTTTTTTTTAAGCAGGTTAATTCCCACAATGTACAAAGAACTCCTAGGAACTGGCAGGAGAAAATATCAACATAATAATTAACAGAATTCACAGAAGGAATGCCATGAGCTATAAAAAAATATTTATTATCACAACTCTTAACAAGAGGGAGAGGGAAGGAAAAATTTCAAATGAAAATAGAAAGCATGCCATATGTCACTTATCAAATCAACACAATTTGTTTTTCTTTTGGAGATAATATTTCTTGTTCACAAGGGTGTGGTGAGTCTAGCTCAGTCAGTGAAGCCAGAGTATAATTGGTAAAGTTTTTCTAGAAGCAATGTATTATGAGGACCTTTACAAATATTAATATACATTGATCGAGTTCATTTGCCCTGACATTAAAATTGTTCATATGCTTCAAAGAATTTATTCTAAATAAGGTACAGTTTATCAAAAATACAAAAAGAAATTGACATGTAAGAATGACGATTTATCATTCATAATAGCAAGAAAATTACCTTAAAGTTCAATATTTAGGGTATGGATTAAATCATCCTTATGACATTCATCAGCTTTTGAATAATTTTAAATCATTGAAAATCATACTTAACAAATATTTAGTGATATTGGATATGCTTTCAAGATAAAACAGATTAAGTTTTATTAAAAACATGTGGGCATAGAAACAAACTAAAAAAAAAGCAAAAAAGTTAACAGTTGCTGTCTGCCCCAAACACAGTCATCTGTGCCAGGACATTCCCTCTCTTCTCTTGGTTGTGCTAATCATTGGTCCTTCCATTGCATAAAAATGAAGTTCTTCCCACCATGGGGCTCCTATGTTTAGGAAAGAAGGTCTAGAACAATTAAACAATCATCAGATAATGCAAAATCACATGCAAAGATAAATACTGTGAGAATTCTCAGTCTATACCTCTCTCCCATAAATTCAGGAAGATACACAAAGCCTATAGGAAAAGAATACAAAATAGTACTTGATATATTATTGGTTTGCTTCTCTGGTGACCATAAACCAAAAAGATTTACTCCACTTCTCAATCTCCACCCCTGAAGAAACCCACATCAGCATTGTTTTCAGTTTCTATTAACCAAGGTATGCTAATTCTCCACCATGATTCTTGGTCCTATCCTTTTCTTTCCATATTTTGGGCCTTATAAATTTAAACCTGGTTTGCAGTAGAATCCACTTAGCCAGACTCTTCCCTATTCCAGCTCTCCCTTAAAATGGCTGTTGAATTATTTCTCTCAAATTCGATTTCTATTATGTTATTCTCCAACTTAAAAGGTTATCAATTCCCCAATTACCCCCCCCAAAAAAAACCCCTTTCTGAAACCCTATTCTAGCCGTTCACCTGACCTCACTTCTCATCCTTTATCCAAATATGGGGTTCATATGTGGCCTGTCTGCCCTTTTTTGTCCTTTTTTTGTCCTTTTATTTTTTTGCCGACGCATTTCCCTCCTTTCCTTTCAAAAATTAAAATTCTTTGTAAACACTCCATTCAGACTCTGCATTCCTTGCCTAGCTCTTAACACTACTTGACTTATCCCACGTTAACTTAATAAACTTGTTGACATTTTCCATTTTACAGTTTACATGGGCTTTCACTGACAGTCTATCATTTGATCTTCACAATTTGGTGAGAAAAATAGGGTGAATGTTATTATCATCCTTTGACTGTTGAGCAAGCCCTAGTTTTGAAAATTAAGTGATTTATCCAGAGGCTCACAGCAAAATAGTCAGAGTTCCAGAACTGAGCTATATATAGGTCTTTGGAGACCCAAATGCAGGTCTTGAATTCTAAGAGTCTCTTGTTCCCACATCATCTTCCTACTGTGAACATATGTCATATTTGATAAGTGTTATTGATGGACTGATAATGCAGTCAGTGCAGATTATTTAAGCATCAGTGTCACCAGGTCATATTCAAATAAGAATTAAGCATTTTGATGCCATGCGCTAGGATTAGGTTGGGAAGAAGGCAAAATGAGTACTTACCAGTTTGCATGAGAAAATATTCATGAAACCTAAAAAAGTTGCATCTTCCCTGGCAGACAAAAAACATATGTATGTTTCATTGGGAAATTCTCCACCTGGTGTTGCTTGGGCCAGAGGTCAGACTGAATTCAGCTTTGAGTTACTGGTTAAAATCTTTGCTTTGCCTGTCCAGGAATGGCCAGAAGCAATAGGAGCTGAAGAATCAGGCTGTGTCTGCCCCTTCTGTGTGACCTTTAACCAAGCTAAGACATCACAGAGCCTTGGGCTTCCATCCCTTTATCCATCCTGCAGAGGGGTTGACTGAGATGGTCCCCAAGGTCTCCTCTGGCTGTGACATTCTGAGAGTCTATGAATAGCGACGACAGAAGACAGGTGCAAGTTGATCACCACGTGGGAAGCTTACACCTGTCTCTCCTCAGTTTTTCCTCCCCTCACTTCCAGTTGCCAAACTCCAGGCCCAGTCAGGGTCCAGTTGCCAGTTTTGAAGCCGTTCAAGGACAGTCGTCCTTCTGCATGGGGCTCCTTCTAACCCAAAGCTGGCCTGCCTTCCTCTCTCTGCGACTCACTTTCCCTTAGGCTACTGGGGTGTGCATGCCACTAATTCATCTCTGCCTCTTTGCTTTTAGATTAAAATTACTCACAAGAACCAAGCGCCCATGATGATGGGGCCTCCCCAGAAGAGCAGCTTCTTTTCTCTGAGAAGGAAGAGCCGTTCAAAAGACTAAACAATGTACATAATGCCAGTTGCACTAAGAGAGAAAACAAGAAATTGTAACACACACACATGCACACACACATACACACACACATGAACACATGTCAAACATACACACTTCTCTAACCAGTGGAAGCAAAGCCACCCTTCAGGAAGAAACCTTCACCTTGCCATTCATTTTATTTCAACAGTGGAAGCATCCCAACCGCACCAGGGCCCACCAGAGTGTGGTGGGCCCATGCAACAACCGCCACCATCCCAGAAGGCCGTGAGTGGGACTTTCTGAGACTGAAAGAAAATCTTTCTTTCTACCAGTCCTGCAAGTTTCTTCATGGACACTCAAGGAGCAGGTTGCAGGTTTCCTGCCTACTGTGAGATCGGATGTGGCCAACGGAAAAGACTCCTGTTGTAGAGAGCTTGCACAAAGGTCTCTCTGTGCAGAGACAAAATGCCTCCAACACTCAGAGAGTAGTCCTTGCTGGGCTCTGCAGGCACACGTGGTTCCTAGGTTGCCCTTCGAGCAACAGCTTCTTCTTGAACTTGCTGAGGAGGCAGAAAGGCTGTGGAAAGCGGTGTTTCCATTCCTGGTTCTCTGCGCTGTCAGTGGGCACTTGTTATTTTCCCAAAGCCTTCTCCTGGTGGCTGTGTGTTTGTTTAGAAATGGCTCCAAGAGCCCCCAGAGCTGCCTGCAAGGCACACCTTAGATGTGGTATTTATTTTCTTAGTTCTGTGAACACCTGGGAGGGAAAGCAGAGAAACTGGGATTTATTTTTCAAATTGGTGTCATAATATTGTGTAAAAAGGAAAGAAAAAAAACCACCCCCAGCTTCTTTCTTTTTCAAGCCAAAGTGTGTTTCCTGTTTGAGTTCCAAGCCCTGGTGACAGACTATTCCTGAAGGCAGAAAAGATGGGAGGGAAGGGCCTCTGGCTGAGGAGACCAGGAGACAAACCATCAGGCACTTCTCTCCTGCCTCTGCATCCACTACTCCCAGAATATGATCTGAAGACCCTTGTGATGGTCTGTGTATGTGTATATATATGTAGCATATATATTTATATAGATATAAATATTTATTTACCGATGGACTTTTCCTGATTGGGGAAAAAAAAAGATGTAGTTATAGGAACAGAAGAACGTTCTTATCCCCCACACCCCACCATTTCCCCATAGTGATCCAATTCTGGAGCCTCAACACAAGTATGAAAGATGTGCTGGGCAGGAATTACTTTCCCTTTTGTCAGATAAGGAAACTAAGTCTTGGAAAAGTTAAGTGACTTGTTGTCTTGGTTCATGTGGTTTGGAATAGGTGCCACTGAGAAGATAATGAACAGAGGCAAGAATCTACACATCTTGGAATAGATGGTCATTTCTGGCCCCTAAGAAAGATTGTGTTTGGATGTAAGGATGGGACAGACTCACACAAGAGAATAAGGGCCTCCTCGTACTTCCCAGAGGTCTCTCTGGCCTGAGAAGTTGGCCAGTGTTGAAGACATTAGACAGATCATCAGATTTAACTCTCCACCTGTCACCTCATCATAGTCGCCGTAGTGTCTTATTCTGGAAACACCCGTGGCTTCAGGGATACCTCAGTGGGAGTCACAGGAGGACTCAGGCACTTTCTACAAGGTGCTGCCACTCGGTAGCCAGAAAGGCCTCGGACAGAATTCACTGGGCTTCACTCAGCTGGTGCCTGTGTGACCCTTCTTTCCCCAGGGCCAGCATATGTCATTTCATTGGTAAAAAGAAACATCTGCCTCTGCATCTTTACTTCCTCAGGCCTCCATCCCCTTCTGAGATTTCTCAAGAGGAAACCTGGGCCTATTCGACGCAGCTCCACAGAGCTGCTTCTAATCTCCTTGAACTAGCTCAGGAGCTTTGGACAAGGAAGGGAAAATTAAGATTGTATGCAAAATTGATCCAACTCTGACAGAAGCAATCATCTAGGACCACCTAGGATGGAGAGCTAGAATCATCCAGCTCGACCTAAAAGCAAAGAACACTGGCCAGGGACAAACCAGGCCACCTGAAGAACATCCTTACCGATGGGATCCTCGGTGATGGCACCAACAAGCTCCAGAGTGACAACAGGTACTCCCTCGGAAGCCACTTAATTCTGAAACTAAGGCAGGTTAAGGCAACTGAGCCTAAGACATTTATAGTTTTTGCATGTATTTCAGCCTTAACCCTCCAACACTGAGGCTGTTGAAACCTGGCACTTATCAACATGTGAAAATGATTCTCAGAGATTCACAAGTCTCCTGCAGGGGCTCACCACTGCCCACTCTGCTCTAGCAGTGTGACTTGAGTTATGCTTCCCGAGGCCTCCTTAGAGTCACAGGGTGTAACAAACGTTGATGAATTGCACTTCCAATTTTACAACTTCAGTAAGTCTAGTGTGGTTTAATCTGACTTTGTAATTCACTCCTTAACTACTATGACTGCGAGTCCCTACCGTCTAGGACCTCATTGTAGTGTAGAATACCTGACCACAGTGACCTATGAGGTAGGTAGAGAAGGTATTATGATCCAAGTCCTCATAATGAAGAAAATAAGGTTTAATGAAGTTTAGTGGCTTTCCGCATCACACAGTTGGGCAGTCAGAAGAGAGTCCTGTCCCCTATTCCTCATCTTACTCTGACACTAGCCATGTTACAGACTTGTTCTCACCCTCCCCCATACTTCTATCCCACTAGCAATAAAAAATGAAATGGGAACTCATCAATACCTTGTTTTGTTCCTGGACTAATAGGCTAGGAGTTGCATCTAATTATGGCTTGGTCTTTGTAGGTTTCCTCCAGTGAGTTGAGAATGGAGATAGATAAGTAGGATGATTATATTTCAGGTCAGCGACCAGCTCCTCTCAAGAGAGTTCTTTCCACAGATGGAAAAGATATGTTAAAATTGCCAAATAAATTAGGAAATACTTGGCAGAACCTGGAAGAGCCTCCAGACTGGCATTACATAACATGCATATATATTATACATATGCACATTATATAAGGTGACATAGTACTTAATGTGCTGTATATATTATGTAAATTACATATTTGTGAGTAATCATGATAAATATAGAGACCCACTAATCACTTTTTTACACATACTCAGTGACAGATTAGGAAGTTACTTTGCCAGGGAGTCTTAAAACTTACTCTCTCCTGCTGCTTTGGTTCTAACTCCTGCCAAAAATAATTGCATCAACTTTTCCCCATCTCTATCCCCCTCTCCTCTTGGCCAGAATCCTCAGTTACCTCCTGTCCCAGTTAGGCTCTACCTTCCTTGTAACACTACCACAATTTGGATCCATGGAAACAGAATTAGAGAGATGGGAAGGCTCTAGACTCAGATTCACGAAATCACAGGTCTCTACACCTCAACACTCACAGACAAGTGGGTGCCCAAAGCTAGTCTTAAGGGGATACAAGGGAGGAGAAGACTCTACCAACCTTCCCAGGAAGGAAACTTCATCATGTTCCTTGGTCACCAGGTCCAGGAGCCAACAATAACCAACCAGGAAGTTATTTCAAATGTCTGGTGGGAGTCCTTGCAGCATATCTGATACCATAATTTTGAAAAATGTGTTTCACAAAGATGTCCTTGACAAGAGTGCTGTGGTCAAGTACCAAATCCCCTCTTGGAGATACACAGAAAAGCTTAACACTAAGGACTCACAGTAAAGGACCACAGAGGTGTCTGTCTGTCAGCAGCTATAGAAGCACTGCTTAAGCCTACCCTTTCTTTCTGTTCTCTTTCTTTCTTTCTGATGGGATATATGATATTACCGAAAGTACTTTTCTAGCACAAAAAGTCTTCATTCTTAAAATGAAAGTAGAAAGTCTCTACTTTCTTCTGTTTTATTAACTAACTTTATTTTTCCCCTCAACCAAGGATCAAGGAACTGGATTCTTTGTCCCCTGAGAAAGGAAGGAATTGGAGGAAAATTAAAGGGGATATATAGCAACCAAGGGTCAGGCTTCATCTTTATGGCTCTGCGAAACAGAACTGGATCTAAAGAATACAGTGTTAGAGAGGCCAAGGTGACCTAGTGTAGAAAGGACTACCTTGCAGAGAGATGAACATCTATCTGCTCTAATAGAAAAACCTTTGACCTGATTGGGCAGGGAACAAGCAGTGAATGGCACACCTTGTCAAAAAAAACTAGAAACGGTTTTGCAGGCATCAATGTTACATCAACTGGTCTATTATTTTCTCTAGATCAGCATTATTTCAGTGCCCCCCCACGACAACCTTTTTTTTTTTTTTTTGAAAGAATGAGAAATGGCCCATAGAGATTTCCAGATCAGTGGAAACTGACTATTTCAATCGTATTTGCACGTGGCCGGATTGATCAGACTCAGAGGCGCTCTCAAGGCTAATTACTGGTGACAGAGATCTCTCCTTAGTAGCTCTGAAAGTTAAAGGAATGAGTTACAGTATTAAAATCAAAAGAGAACTTCATCTCTACTGGGTCCCATACTGCTAATATGGAACACTTCTAGTCACAAATGCCAGACCTGAACCTAACTTGCAATAGGAAGAGAAAAAAAACTATCCCATGTGACAAGTAAAAATTGAGTTTTTTATAAAATGAGAGAAGAATTGTATAGAATTTCACATGGGGCCATTGTATTTAATTCACCCTGATGTCCTACATGATCTTGGACATTTGGAGTGCACACGGGGGAAAAGCTAAGAAAGAAAACTCCCATTTATTGCTTTCTGGGTGCAAGACATGGTAACAAAGTCTTTTCATATCCTCTCCCTTTTGATGATCAGAACAGCCCATGATATGAGCTTTGTACTTATTTTACAAATGAAGGAGTAAGTAAACGCATGGGAAGGTAAAATACCATATCCAAAAGACAAACAGATAACAAGTGGTAGAGCAAAGACTTGACTTGGGTCTGTGACACATCAAAATGTTCTAGATTTTAGTACCTTTAACATTCTTCTCTGTTTCTCACCCAACCATCATCCTAGGTGAGAGTACGTGACATTGGCAAATTGGTCGCCTCTCTGGTCAACCTCTATCTAGTCATCTAATCATGTTCCTCCCAAAGAACGTCCAGTGTTTGCTCATATTTGAACTCAGCAGCCTCTGTGGACTGCTAGAATCCAAAACATCACCTTTGCAGTCAAATTGGCAATAATTTTTAATCGTCAGTGTTTCAAATTCAGACAAGATGGAAATCATTTCCCAGAGCCTACCTAATAGGTGTCCTGTTCAATTTGTTCAGTGGGAGAGCAACAAACGACCTTCTCAGACTTAAATGCCATGGTCAACAGTGACCGGCCCGCACAAGGAAGAAGGAGTAGGGTTTTTGAAGGGAGCTTCCAGCAAGAAAGCTCAGCATGTGATCCTCATTAGTGATAGGCGTGGGCTGGGCCATCTGTGTTCCACAGGAGAACAGAATGGCAAGCTGCCTTTCAGATGCCAAGAGATGCTATCTAATAGGAAGATCCAGAGAGCTCAAAAAGCAGAGAGACTTCTTTCCTCCTGGGCATCAGAAAACCACAGGGACACAGTAAACCAAAGTTTGGGGGGGGGTGTAATTAGCTATTTAACATGCTTGCTTCTACTTCATTCTTCATGTCAGTGATGCAGAGCAGCAAGCAGAACTCTGCAGTTTCATCTGCTAGTTCAAGAGTTCAAGTTCCTTTTATATGGAGCCCATGATGAACCCATGTCACCCTGAAAGGCGTGGATGCACTAACAGGTGCATTATACAGCTAGGTTCCAGAGTTTGCAGTAAAGATTCTGAGTCTCCCAGAGATCCATAAACTGCAGATAGAAGAGACCATTTAATTGGATGATCAATGCAGATTCTAGGGAAAAAAATAATCAGAAAACATGGAAGACTACTCTAAATGGGTCAAATTAGGAAAATGTGATGAAGCAAAGAGGATAATGTCTTACCCACTCTCACGCATATAAGTAGGTAATGAGTAAGTGTGTATTCAATGAGTGAGTAGCTAAAGTTGGTATCTATTCTTCTACCCTGGAATGGGTAGGGGAAGGGGAGTAAAAGGCATGAAAGCTTTTTAACTAACAACTCAGGAACTTGAAACCACAGGATGTAGAGGGAGCTCATGGGGGCCTTTAACTACCCAGACATCTGTTGAGTGATGGATACAGCTAAATATGGATCATCAAAGGCCTTTCTAGGTCACATGGAGTGCAGCTCCATGATTCAGAAAATGCGATATTCAACTAGGAAAGAAAGATAGAAATATTTGCAATCTACTTCTTAGAGATCAGGTCAGAACTGACAAAGACAGTATAGAAGTAAAGTTACAACAGAATAAAAAGACAGTACAGAAGTAAAGTTACAACACAGCAAATATCATAATAAGATACAGATTCAGGACATGACAAGAGACAGAGAAGTGGGTATTTTAACAGATTTATTTGGACAAGAAAATGACTATGAACATCACAGTCCAAAGGAAGAAAGAAAAAAATGGGTCTCTTAAAAAATTAAATTAATTGTTAAATGAAAATATCTATGCATTGATGAACTTTTTAGTAAATAATAACCATAACTGTCCAGTCTAAAACCTATTATTTTTAAGGCCATTTTTAAAATGCACAAGAACTTATGAAGTCAGTGGTGGTTTAAAGGAAACTGGGGGGGGAGGGAAGTAAATCTTAATGAGACAGAGTCAGAATTCAGACGTGAGAGTATCTACCTTCAAAGTCCAGGTCTATGCTTACGGTGCCATGGCCAGTTCCTCTGAGAATCAAGCACGATGACAGGGATTTGGTCCCTCAAACCAATCCCCTGTGTCCAACTTGCTTCCTTCTCACATTAGAAATTCATGTCCCTGTCCTCGCTTTTCCACAGGGCTGAAATGAGAAACTGCATTCCTTTGGCCATGGAGGGCACTGGGAAGGAACAGATCTGGGCACGAGAAGGTCCATCCATGCGTACTTACCTGCCTCTCTTTTTCTTAGCTCCTCTCCAAGTCACCACCTGGACCATACCATAGGACACTACTCAGAACAGCCAACGATGAACACTCAAGACCTCCACCCAATCACAGCATTCACATAATATTAGCAATCATGTTAAATGATACACAGAGACCATCTTGACATTCAGTGCAGGTGACCAGGATCAGGGAGTCAAACACTAGAATTTAAACAGAATTTAGAACAGATTTCTAAGATAGGGTGAAGAGCTGACATGTCCTTTTAAAAATCTGATGGTTGAATCATAATTTGGAGTAAAAGGACTGCTTTTGGAATTAGGCAAAAAGTTCATTTTTTTCCTTAAAAAGTTCCTTTTGAAATAGATGACCAGTAATTACCAGATGAGGGAATAATAAGAGAGTAATTTACATTTATTTTAGATAACACGAAAGGAAATAGACTTGATAAACCCCACAATATGAATGGCAATCCAGAAGATTTCAGAGTTATAATGAATGAACTCTTTTGTGTCTATATTTTCCTATGAAAACTGGTACCAATTGTTTACCATAAATGGCATGGTCATCAAGAAAAGAAATATTTTCCTGGTAAATATTTCCTCTCTCCCCAATATCCTGGAGGTAAAACTATTTATTTTAGCCTAGAGACCCATCCTGAAGTGTGTTAATAATAGAAAATGTCATTCAATTGCTGTTTGGGGTTTGCTGCCATCATACTCTGCTACCACCAGGCATTAAAGCAATGACAAGAAGCCTAAGAGCACTAAGCAGTTCCCACACCCCCTTCCTCCCTATCAGCCTCCTGAAGTTCCCCTCACCCAGATTAAATATAGTCTGGAATTAAAACATCTGGGAATAATTTCTTTTTATTAAGAAAATTGTTAAGAGCAAAAATGTAATCCCAAATATTTCTAAAAAGATAAATTTCAAACATACAGAAAAGTAGTGCTACGAGTGTAATAAGAACCCATATACGGAGCACTTAATTTCAACAGTTATTATTGTGCCATTTTTGTTTCAATTTTTTTAACTAAAATATTTGAAAGTTAATCATAGATCTCATGGCATCTCAAGCCAAAATCCTTGGCCAAAATACACTGTGCTGAAAGGGATGTACATTACCTACGATGCCAGAGGAAGACCTCAGAGTGTTGTGCTGGTGAGCTTGGTCCTTTCTCAAGTGACTGAATCCACTGGCCACACTAGAAATTGATCAGGGCAATAGCCATCACTTATTGAGAGAAAGTTTTGAATGGAACCCAAGGAAAGTCATTCTGAATTCAAAACATTCCTGACTGAACTGGAAAGGAGGTGGTAAACAGCATACTAAGTTTTTCAAATACACAAGATGGGGAAGTGTTATAAGCACAGATGATGGCAGAAAGAACATGCAAAGTACTGTATTTACCTGAACGATGCAGGTTCTTATTTTTAAAATAAAAGTTTAAAGCACAAATAGTTACAGAAAGGCTGGGCACAGCCTTATGTGGACAGGTAAAATAGTAAAACATCCTATTTTCACACTAATTTATTCATATCAAAAAAAGTTAGTTTTTGCCCCACACGTGAAGATAATGAAGCCAGCCTAGGGGAGGGGCAGGCTGCCTGAATGTACAGAAAGAGCCGCCTCCTTCACTGGCATGGATCTGGAAGTGGGTCAACCCCCAAGAGAATGTCTGGGAAATCTGGTTGAAAAGCATCAGCTCACTTTTGTGAGGGAGAGAGCATTTCCATAGGTGAAGTATAAGGAAGCAGGTATCACTCTGTGTGCACCGTGGTTGGCCTCTGGGATCCAGGTGGACTGACAGAGATGGTCTGGACAATGTGGTGGGTCAGTTTGCTTGCAAGAATCTGCCAGCTCAGTGACTCTGACAAACAAAAGAGAAACAGGTGAAATAAATGCCAGGAGGTATCAGAACGTTCAGCCTGTCTCAGCCCATACATGAAATGAGTTTCACAGTCAAGAAAAGCCTACATGGCAGCAACAACTGAAAGCAGGCCCAATACCCAACCAAGGCCTGATTCCCAGCTGGACACTGGAGTACCTAACTACCCTCTTGCTCTCTATACTCCAAGAGAAAGAGCTCTCTATGTATACCCCAATGCACAGCCGCATAGCTTTGACTCATTAAACTCCTCACCCCAGTGCCCTTCCCATACAACCTGGGGTTCATTAAAAAAAAAAAGCATCACCTTCTCTTTTCCTGATATTGCTACCAAGAGGAATGCCAGTCTGTGTTGGCTTCCATGGAGATAAAAATTGTTTTCATCTTCCTAAATAGGAGCACATTTTCTTCCCAGAGATCCTCCCTTCCCCACTTCTCCCTCCCTCCTCCTCTTCCCTTCCCTCCCTCACCCTCCCCATTTCTCCACCTCCCCTCCTCCCAGTCTTTGGAAGAACACAATTTCTTTGAGTTCCCTCTTCCAGCCTAACCCCTGGCCCTGAAGCCCAGGATCCATTTATGGGCGTGACAACACATGAGCTCACTGGAGCGCACACAAGAGCTTTTGGCAAGTCTTCCAGGAGACGGATGGCGGCTGGGGCTCAGCACACTAGCTCGCTTAGTCTCGGCCATGGGGTTTTTCTTTCCTCTCCTCAGAACAGAGAGCCATCTATTTTGCGTGATTTTGTGTGGTAGCAGGGAGGAGGAAGAGCAATGGTCCCTCCTAGATGCCATTGGCTAAAACTGACATGATTTCCTGCAACGGGGAAATACACACTCAAAAGACAATATTCACTTATGTATGTTAAGCCCCCTCCAAGCTGGTGCTGCTCTTTTCCGTGAAGAGGCCATGAGCATTGCACGGCTGCAGAGAAGTAAATGGGGTCTGAGGATCTATGTTCTTTCATGGTCTCAGAAGATTCCATCCAACTCTAATGTTCTTTCTGAGATATTTGCAAGCAAGGCCTGGAGCAGAGGAAGAGACAAAACAGTTGAGAATTCCCATTTCCTCCAGCGGAAACAGAAAGGATATTTATAAAGAGCTGTCAGGTGTTCTCAAAGCCAGGTCATGTGAAAGAAATCAATCCTGCCCTGTGTATTTGGTACGAAACTCCTCTTCCAGATGGAATTTTCTTGAGGGTGGAGAGGAACTTTTGGGAATGGCACTCTGGACACTCAAAGAGAAGTAGGGAGATAGAAAAAGCAAGGGAAATTCATGAGCCCAAATTCAGTGGATGTTTTCCATGATTTCCAAGAGAAAGGAAGATTTTAGGTCACGATTGGTTTTGTCTCCTGCCACTCTCAGAAGGAAAAGTAGAGTTAGGAGGCACTTGATGGTAATGAGCTCTGCCCAGCTGCCTTAGTCACCTGAGGCCTGTCTACTTCCAGGAAGTGCCAGAGAAAACTTGGGGGAGGGGGATGTCTCAGCCTGGCCCCTCCATGTTCTCGATCTTGGGCATCCCAGGACCCCAGGGCACTTCCCCCTCCCCCCAGCATCAAATGGGGAAGCTGCTCCTCTGTCTCTGCTCATCTCCAGCTCTTCTTCCCACCCTGACCCCAAGTAGCAATAAGGACTTGGGCAAGTCACATTGTGTCTCACTTTCCCCACTTATAAAATGGCATTGGGAAAGATGATTAATTCATTTGTTCATTTAGTCATCAATAAATATTTTACTATTAAACAATTCACCAGGCACTCACTGTACTCTAGCGTCCTATCTCTTCACTTCCACCCACCCGCAGTGCCTGCTTCTTTTACTTTTCCCTCTCCCTTTTACTCTCATTAGGTTTCTCTTTACCCCTTTACACACATGCACGCACGCGCACACACACACACACACACACATCCCACCATGATTCCATTTTTAGAACATTCAACCATAAAATCAAATGATCAGAGAAATCTGCCCAACTTATCTCCAGGTAAATCATGCTTTAAAGGCCCAGGAAAGATCAGAGACATGCTCCAGAGCCCACCTGCAAGATGCATTTGCAAGTCTCACAACCTTCTCCATCAAGAAATTGTCCTCAACAATTCTTTCTATTCCATACTACTCTCTTTCCCCTTGATATTTTGCATCATATCTCAGGCATAAAGTGCCTTTCTGGGTATGAAACTATTGGTAAGGTTAAGCCAAGATGACATAATCAAGAATTCCAGACCATAAGCATACTAATTTCAATGTAAAAACAATGTCATCGGGAACAAAGAAGGAACTAGAAGTCATTGATAATAAGAATTATTTGACTTCTGTAAAATCAACAAAAAAAAAAACAAAGAATCAAAAACCCACAATCATAACATGACTGGCATCACAATTTCTGGTAGACTATCTCAATTAACATCAAAAGCCTACTGTACAGGGAATCATAACCACCTTTTGTTAGGAAGACCCTTTTCGAGGTCATCGAGTCCAAGCTTTGATGCTGACTTGGCAACCAGCAGAACAGGTTTATGTTTTGTTGATTATGGTTGAATGGCGAATGTGGTCATTCAGCCTTGGTTCCTGTGTCATCCAAAGTGATTGCCCCCGAACAGGAGGTAAACCCGGCCACACACAGGGCCAGGTGATGGTCCTTTTTGTGTGAACCTGTCAATGCAGCTCACAGTCTCGAGAGAGGCTGTGCAACTCAGTGGGTAGATCACCTGACAAGGACACAGATTTCAAAATCGGCAATTTTTTGTTTGTTTCTTCTCCAGATGACAAGGTACCACAGACCCAACTAAAGAGAAGAGGGTCATATAGCAAGTTGATGATTCAACTTACCACAATTGCCCTCTTCTATAGAATGATGCCTCTGTACCATCATCCTCAACGCTCGGTAGATATGTCAAAGAAAGTGCCACCATTGACAAGAAGCCATAATTCCAAGATGCTCTCTGTGAAGGGGGTTCTGATGGATGCTTTTCTCTTTCTGCAGGAAAAAAGTAAGATCCTTCTCTCTTGGAAAAGTCTGGCAAGTGTTCCTTAGTGGCTGCTGTGGAAGGGAGCTAGATGCCATGTCCATGATGGGGTGAGGGGTGCAACTCTGCCTGGACTTGCCCGTTAGCCTCCCAGGACCTCTCTTTCTCCATCTAGCAAACAAGAGGGCTTTAAAGACCTTCCCTCTTCTTGATCTTGCCTTCACATGGTGTAAACGTGGCCATAGGAGAGGAGGCAAGATCCCTTTTCCATGGATCTTCCATCAACCTCAAGACTTCTCCCAGTCTTGTTGACCAGCCAAGAATCTACCTGTTTTCTCTCTTGAGGATTGATCATGTTCAGAAATAAGTTGGGGGCAGGGGGAGATATAAAGAAGAAAACCCTTTGATAAGACCTCCCAGACATTCACACACACACATACGCACATATACAGACAAGCATATTCAATCCTTGAAGTGTTAAGCACTTTCTCTTTTGTGTATCAAGCCTATTTTGCCCTTTCTAATCGCCAGTGAGTTTGGAAAGAATTCAGTCTCTCCAATGGAAAAGCACTGCTTCCTCCTAGGGAACTTAGCTAAACCTTCTGTTGGGGGAGACCCTGGGCCCAGGTTGAAGCTAAAGGTCATAATACTCCTCAGCTGCACCCCATCAATGCAGATTCAGCAGACTCGGAGGCAGTGGTGCCAGGGTCCAGATCCTCCCCTCCTTGCTTGTCCACCTCCACTGCCTCCTCTCCCCCTAGGTCTGTTGTTTTGAAATGGCAGTTGCCTGCTCCAGCCTGCCTGTCTGCCTGCATAGAGTGGTGTGGACTTGTTCTGTAATGTACTGTGTGTGTACGTGTGTCCTGACTCTGTGGTTTACTGCAAATAAAAATGGCAGTTGATGACTGACCTCTGACCTCCTGGTGGCTTTTTTTCATGCCATTGTTTGAGAAATCATGACTGTTCTCCTCAGACATGGAGCACCAGAGACATGCACACTTCTGCAGGCTGTTCTGTAGCCTTTCAACAGTTGCCCACTGCTAAGGGGGCACTGCTGATATGCCAGGATAGGGAAGAATTGAGATTCAGTTACAGCTGTCCTGGTGCTGAGGAAGGAGAAAGTAAGCCCCAAAACCCTCTTCATTAAACCCCTGTTAAACATGTAAACCATCTTATTGACATATGAAAACTCCTCGCCACAGTGGGGATGAGCAAATAAAGGTTCAGAAATGATCATTCATGGGTTCAACAAGTAACAAAGTAAGTAACCCAGTTCTGTCTCTCATGAGCCAAAATTCATGTTCTTGCCTCTAAATCAGTGTTTGTCCAAGTGTGGGCCACGGACTGCTTCCACCAGGAACACCTGGGCCTTGATTCATGACCTCTAAGTGTAAGGCTCTAAAATCTGATTATTTGTAAGCTGGGACTTTAGATAGATTCTTGCTCTTGCCGCAGCTGGAGAATTCTTGCAGCACACTTTGCTGGGAGAAAGGGATGACTCTGGGAGGATGGAGACTAGCTGGGACCTTGCAGGCACTGGAGCCTCAGCCTAAATGCCCATTGAAAGATGAGGAAAATGGATACCATGAAATATATTCCAACCTTGGAAGGAGGAAATGCTGTCAAGTGTTCAAGACAGAAGGATATGTGCTGAGTGAAATAAGCCAATCACAGGACAACAAATACTACATGATTTCACTTAGGAAATCATGATACTTAGGAAGTATCTGAAATAGTCAAACTCATAGAAGAACAACTCCGAACTGAGGCTAACCTGAGCCAAGAAGTCAAGGTCACCCTCCAATGGGTCAAAGAAGGAGGTGCAGGCTCAACACAGAAGTCTTACAGACTGAAACTGCAATGGGGCAGCAACTCTGGGGGGAAGCCTTGCCACTACTTTGGGGGTGCTGCTGGTTGCACCTTCCCCCCTACCCAGCTTGCCCCCAATTGAACAGTCCTATGACTTGAAGTGCCAACAGCTGACCAACAAGCCCCAGAACACAGTCCCTGACCTCTGCTGCACTCTGTCTTTTCCATGTCTCTGCTGTCACCTTCAGGGCTGGGCAAGGACTTTGGCTTCAGAGACTCTAACCAAAATGTCATTCACTCCTAACCATGTCCTCCCCCTTGCACCTGGATTTGGTGAGTTCTATTTGTGCCTCGGCGTCTAGGTGGAGGTTTCTGAAATGGTGGTTGGATATGTCTGAGGTGGGGCACTGTAAGACAGATGCCTAATTGCTACTTAGCAGTAGAATAAAATACTGGAAATAGCTCAGCTGCCCACTCAACAGGAGATTCTGCTGTCCTCTCACCTTCCTGGCTGCAACACTAACTATGCATGAAAAAATATTTTCCTTTTGAAAATGGCTTTTCTTGAATCAAGAAAACACCTCCTGTGCAGAATTTGATATAACCAAATCAGCAAAATACTTAAATGTTTCGAATCTGGAAAAACATAGTTTATATATAGTATAATATAGTACATATATAGTGTATGATCTATATCACAGAAGAAAATTTCTTGAATCTCTATAGCTGACAAAAAGCATTGGGTAAACAAGGAAACCACCCAGCCATTGGAAAACAAAGACCTTGGGGTTGTGTTTGCATTTTAAACAATAGCCAAGAATAGGTCTTTTTGCTGTAGCATTTACAAGATTCTCTAACTCCTATGACCATGTTCCTGCTCCTTCCTCCACTTAGCAGATTATTGGATGCCCTTAAAAGTAACAAAACTGCCTTTGTTTTTAAATGTTCTCTCCTCCTACCTTCCATTAAACCAGACTATCAATTATTACAGAAGTATATCTGAATCTAACCCCCTAAAGCCATTCACAGAAGGAACAGGAAGTCAGAGGCAACAAAAATGACAATGAAAGTAGATCTGAAAGAAAAATCAAAGAGATCAGGAGATAATTGTGGTCCCAGAATTGGCCCAAGATCTCATCCAGAGCAAACCCTTCCTCCGCCCCTCCAGCGCCCTGCCCCTCCCCCCCCATTATCTGTCCAATCCACAGCCCTGTCTGCTGCAGACTGCTGATGGGTGGCCCCCTGCCTTCCTAGGGAGCCCACTTGGGAGTGGTGCTCTGAGCCTTAGATGGGCTTCTATTTTCCCTCATTAACTCCCATCATCGGCCTTCTCCTTGGCAATTAGAAAACACAAAATAAGCCTTCCCTCTCTTCTGCAGGACAGCTTTCAGCTACTTGGAAACAGCTACCTTGTCCATCTAGCTAAGTCTTTATTTTTTGTTCCCTCCAGACTAAACATCCTCTAAATCCTTAAATCATCCCTTATATGTCATGACTTTCTGAACACAAGCAACTCTTGCAACTTTCTCTGGAACGACAACAGTTTGCCAAAGTCCCTCTTAAAATGTGATTCCCAGAACTGAACACAGCGCAGTGCCCCGCATTAAACAGTGGACCAAGGCAGACCCGCATCCTTGGCTCTGGATGCCACATTAGCTTTCTTTGGCAACCTTATCACCCTGCTAATTCATTCTGCTCTCACAGCAGGACCAAACCTTCTAGCCTCTAATGAATGCTAATAACTACCACTGGTGTGGTGCTTCAGAGATCACAAAGTCCTTTCAGAAACATGTTCTCATTAACTCCTCACAACAACCAAGTGAGGTTGATTAAAGACTGAAGGTTTTTCTAAGGCCACATGGCTGGCCTCAGATCTGAGCCTATGAGTACCACTTTGGGCTCATCCAAACATCCTCCTGTTGTCTTTTCACTTGAACTTCTGTTAAAGCCAAGAAAGTTTCCCTGGCTTCACTCATCAGTGTCTGTTCAAAGTCTCCCCCTCCAGCCCTCCACTCTTCCTCAACAACCACCTCCCCACAACCCTTCTACCCCATTCCATTTTTTGTCTTGCTAATTTGTGCCCATGGATGAACCTGTCTAGATCTTTGTAACTCCCAATCTACTAATTGTTATATTAAAGGGAAGACACTGGGTCAAAAGAGAAGGCAACAGAAAAGGACCAACTACCAAGCAGGGGAGCCTTTAGGAAGGAGGTGGGAAAGATGCTTCTCAGAAAAGAATGGGCCATGTGGAGTGGAGATGCCAATGGAACAGGAGTCAGGAGACTGGGTCGAAATTCTATCCCTTTTGGCTGGTTCTGTTACCCGAGGAAAGGCCCTAGCCTCAGAGCTTCAACTTCTAAGAAAGGGGCATCTCTATGGGACTAGTCAGTACGCACAACCTTTCCCAGTTATATCATTCTTTTTTTTTTTCTGAGTGATTTATTTATTTATGCATACAAAAACTGGGGTACAGGCCAGAGGTGTAGGAGGTGAGGGGATTCACCAGAGGCAGAGTGGGGAGCAGAACAGGCAGATCGACTGAAATACACTGCTGAGGGGAGCAACAGGTGAGACAGGAGAGGTCTGCTGCATCATGTGGGTCACCTCCCTGGCTGGGAATCGAACTGTGGAGAGCTTCATTGTGCTGCGCTTTAACCCATTGCCACCAGAGAGACCCCCCAGTTTCATCAATCTAACAGGAGACTTTACTACTATCTCAGTGGGTCCACTTTCAGTGAACAACACACTTCACTCATTATTTCACATGTCTTTCTTTTGCTTAAGATAAAGAGCAGCATTGGGGCCAGAGCAATAAGCAAGATTTATTTCATCTGATGGCCAAACCTTATTCTTTTGAAGGGGAGGGTGGGAGGCATGGGGGGGGGGGGGAAGGTTGCCATAGGCACCTCTAAAGATTCTACAGACCAAGAAATCCTCAAGGGAACTGAACTAGAAGCTTCAGGACTGTTACCTGACACCCTTTCCACATTGTCAGAGGAACCAAGGACCCAGAATGACCAACAGCGAACATTTCAGTGATGCGGGAAGGAAAAGAAACTCCTACTGGTAAAGTACCTCTTATGGGCCTTCTTGGGCAGGTCGCATGATAAATGTTTTTGGATCTTTGCACAGACTTAGGAAATATCATTTCATATTTTTATTCTTCTAGAGCAGAGCTATTCAATGGAAATGCAATGTTAGATTTCCTAGTAACCTCATTGAAAAGGGACAGTTGAAGTGAACTTTAATAAAATATTTCCAAATATTATCATTTTACCATGTAATAAAATAAAAATAATATTAAAATTTGACTAAAATAATTAACATTATTTGTTGCACTGTTTTCAAAACCCAGTATTTATTCTACGTGGAGGCACCAGATTGGCGTCAGTGGCTGCCGTATTGGAAAGAGAAGCTCTAGGTGCTCACACAGCATTGAGGCTTCCCATCAGAGCACTTCCCAAACTACATCAAAATTGCCCAGTTCTGGGTCTACATTATTCAGTGGAATGGAGCTCTGGGGCTGGGGCTGTGGAGTTAACTGGTCTGTTCACAGCTTCCAACTAAGAGCTGCATATTATTTTTAATTGGCTCTTGACAAACATTTAACCAGGGCAAGAATGGAGAAATACCTAACTCGTTTTGGGAAGAGCTTGGGTTTGAACTTACATCTACCTGACATCAGTCAGATATTGTGCTACCACCTAAATTTAAAGAACTATTATGAAAAGAGCATGGTCTTTAGTGCACAGTCTTGAATTAAAATCTCCGCAAGGTGACTAGTGATGGGGAACTCACTACACAGGTTATTGGGTTGAGTTTGAGGCCTCTCTGAGGCCTGATTTCCTCATCTGTAATATGATGTTGATAATATTTACCTCTCAGGTAACCATGAAAATGATGTGTATCTTGCAAACATTAGACTTTCTATAAAGGTTAGTTTCCTTTCCTTTCTAATGAAATAGAAATAAATCGTTCTTATCTGCCCAAGACTGAATCATGTGTTCATTTGACCCTATCTGCTGGGGGGAGAGTAATGAAAAGCAAACCAAAATTTGAGAAAGGAAGCCAGTTTCTACCATCTGCCTCCTTGTTTGT